CCCCCCCGCCCCCAGTATGTCCTCTTGCTCTGGCCACACTTCTCCTTTCATTCTTGCCACCTTCTAGAGCAGTTCTGAAAATCTTTTTCCACTGGGCCGGGGATTTAGCTCAGTGGTTTCGCCACCTGCTGCGCAAGTGCAAGGACCCAAGTTCGATCCCCGGTACCAAAAAAAAAAAAACCAACAACAACAACAACAAAATCTTCTTCCATGAATCTCTTTAGGAGATGTGATCAAAATCCTGCGGACAGCCATCCAACAAAAAGACAGGCTCTTGAAGGCAGTAAAGTGTGACCTCATTCACCTTACTTACCGGATGTAGTGCGTTGTGACTCCTGGCTTTTCCCCAAAGTCACAAGGACCATGAAAGGTAAATGTACTGCATCAGTTTAGGACACGGAGGCAGCCAGGACAGAACAGCTAGAGACGCTCTGGAAAGAGAACTCCAGAGCTGCTTCAGAACATGGCAAGAATGATGGGATAAATGTGCTCCAAGTGAGGGGCAGCTTTTGAGGGCGATTAGTGCCAATGTATCTTTTACTGTAATAACTTTTTAAAAATGTAAACAGTCACCATAGTTTTTGATGATACTTCATATTTATCATTAACATTTCAACTTATTTTTGATAGAACTTACACGTCTATGACCCACGAAAGGTTCCATAGTAAAGAAGTTAGGCCCTGCATAAAGATTTGCAAACTTTTTGAGTTTAAATAGTCCTGCTGCTAACTATAGGAACCTGAGCAAATTACTTTAAATATGCTTTGCTTTGCTTGTTTTCCTCAAGCAAAGGTCAGAATAAAAATAGCACTATCTTACTTATTTATGAGAAAAAAATGGGTTAATATTTATTAGAAACTTAGAACACTACATGTCAGATAGCAATGTGTAGTTTTTTCATTTTGATGAAGTAAATATTTGAACAGCCTGCATCTTAACGAGTGGAATGGCAACAATCTAGAAGTCAGGAATCCTTCTTTCTCCTACCCTCTGCTTTGCTTTAGGACAGTTTTGAGACTAAATTAAGTGTTCCAGTAATATTTGGGAACTTGGATTTTTGCTCAAATATAACTCTAAAAAGTGATAGATACATAGTTCAGTCTGAACTGAAAACATACTTACATTTCATAAATGTGTCTGATGTTCACAGCTTCTAGATATCTCCTTAGGTATGTGAACGTGTTGGACAGGATTTTGAATGGGGAGAATGAATCTATTTCTCCCTTGATAGAAAGTGGTTCTTAAACTTCTTTGAAAATTTAATAAAAAACTATAGTTCATTTCCCCAGTGTGAGAAACACAATCGCTGAAGCTATGATTATGGGCCCAGTTCATCCTTTGCTGTATTTGCAATTGGATAAGAAAGTGGATTGAGGGTTATTATGGCCTTTTTTTTTTTTTTTTTTGAGACCAGGCTGAATTTAGACCAGTGAAGAAAAAACTATTCAGGACATCAAAAAGTGTTGGAAACAAGGTGTCCTTTACCAAAGGAACTTTTACTTGGACCATAAAAAATAATTCTAATCTTTGGCTTTTAGGAAATGTGACAGATAATTGAAAACCACATAAAATAGTTGGTCGGTATTATTTAAACTCTGTTTTGTGGAGAACCAGGAAATTGGGGGCTCTATCTAACAAAGATGTCCTGATTGAGGGGTGCTCTGGACAGGTAGGTCTGAGGCTCCACTGAGTGGTACTTCTGCCACAAAAGTTCTGTGTTCATTGACATTACTTCTTGGGCATCCAAATAAAACTGTACTTGAATGAAAAGTTCTGTCATTTTCAAATGATTGAGAAGCAATCTTTTGGATGCTTGACTGGGTAGATAAATCACAACAGATATTTTCAAGCTGGATTATCAGACTCAGAGACGGCCTATCTTGGCAGATACTTATCTTGTAAAAAGGAAAGAGGCCACTTAGTCCAATTCTTAGGATTTAACATTTTGGGCCCTTCTACAAAGCCACAAGGAAGCAGACTTAGAATTAGTAAAAACATTAATTAATAAAAAGAGTTAAATTGGAATGCCACAACTTGTAAGAGAGTGCACATAAAATAGTTACCAAAACCCTTAGGTAAAGTCATGATCAGTTATTCATAATCAGTTATTCACTGAGAAAGATATGAGTATAGCTTTGCTATTTAGTCTGACATCCAACTGGGAGACTGCCTTCCACAGATCACCTTTGGATTCAAATGTCAAAAACAAAGTACCTGCTGGAGATTTAGCTCAGTGGTTTCGCCGCCTGCTACGTAAGCGCAAGGACCTGAGTTTGATCCCCAGTACCAAAAAAAAAAAAAAAAAAAAACCAAAAAAACAAAGTACCTGTTTGTATCACCACATTTATTTTTACCATTGTGGCAACACGTAAGATCTTGTGTAATTTCGCCAGTTTTCTGTTCAGATATTTAACTGCAAGTACTTAAGAGTCATGATCTCTGTAAAACCCATAGACATATGCTGAAGACAATGGAATTGTCACTATTTTCTGATTTAAAGAGATTTAGTATGGTTAAGTCTAACATTTTCTTGACTATGACCCTCCCAAGTTCAGAAGCAAATACATATCATATAGATTATATCTTCCCCTCCCAGTTAAGTCAGGGATCCCAGGCTTTTCCAGCACCTTGATAAGAGAGTGGTGGAAGAGGTCTGAATGAGCCCATTGGTTGAAAGTAAAGAGAAAGTTGTCATATGCTGTCTTCTCTTGCTCAATAGCTCTTGCCAGGACTTCTGAGCTTTCTCAAGGGCACAGTCACACAGAGCTGAAGTTAGAGTAGCCCCAAATGCCCCTGGTTAGTTCCTTAACTATGTATTCCAGCTCGTCTACAGCCTCCTTAGTGATAGGATATCTTAAACACAGAGTCTTATAAAACAAAATGTGACCCTGTCTTGTGGGAGAGTAAGCCAGGTGAAAGGCTCGGGGCTTATCAAGGCAGCCAGGCGAGACAGAGATCTGACTGCTTTGGAAGGGCTCTTGTGGAAGCTACGCCCAAGCCCTTCAGAGGCGGGTTTACTTCCCAAGCAAGCATGGTTGCCAGGAAGCCCCTGGGTGTGCTGCTTCAGAAGGGAGGGAAAGAAATGAAATGCACCAGTGATAGGGGATTTGCAGACGTCTCTGAGATCCCATAAACCAATGTGGACATTTCTTCTGGAGGCTGCTCATCCCTCCCATGTGAAGCACTTCAGTTTTCCTGCTGGTAAAGAGGCTGCTGAGAATCGTTCAAGCCAGTTAAAGAAACCACTTAAAGTAAGTATCTGAAACACAAACATTAGCACCAGTGCTTGAAATGCGGTAATAATAACAAAGGCCTTACTTCTTCTCTCCTTTGTACCATTCAAAGGCCGGAGGTGGCACACCTGCACCTTCGCATCTTATCAATCCACTGCGTCCCGGGGTCACAGTGCCAGATTTAATTTCCTGAATCGTAGGAGCAACTGAAAAAAAGAAACAAAATATGTATATAAAACCCAGGTAGATAAGGAAAAATAATCTTCAGCAGAAATAGAACACACATATATTTTTACTCCTTCTATATTCAAAGCAATCTTATGCCTGATAGGTGAATGCATCACATTTTTGGTATTTTATGCTTCAAAGTCCAAGACCAGTCATTTTCAGCTTCATCTTTCAACTTGGACGATAGAAGAATGTTCTCAGGGAGTGCAGAATAAATACAATGCATTTTGGTCTTGCTCCCTATTGGGAAAATGGCATGATAAGGGGAACGCTTCATCCGTACTCCAGTCAGACTCCCACAATAGCTCCTTTGCGCGAGGACACTGGTGTGGTTGTTGGGCTGGGTGCTTTATGTTCCTCATCTCCTCGCAGTCATGCTATAAGTGAGGCAGTATCATCCCCATTTATAAATACCAGAACTGAAGTTCAGAGAGGTTACATAATTTGTCCAAGGTCACACAGTTACTTTAGTTGGAGAATTTGTATTTGAAGTCAGCCATGTTGGGTCAAAATAGGCTTTTTCGATATTTTGTGTTTCTCCCTGTGCTTTAGCAATGTAGTGATTTTATTATATGATTTCTCTCCCTGCATGCTATTGGTCTCCATTTCCACAGATTCACTGCTTTTTTTTTTTTGATGTTGCTCTCTCCAAACTCTTCACTATTGCTCTAGCTGGAAATAGCCTTCCTTTCTCTAAGTGGTTTATCTAAATCACTTATATCATATACTTTGTCATTACTTATGAATATGCTGAGCTTCTTCTTAGCTCCCTGATGGTAGGGCAAGTGTCTGCCTTTGCACATTCAGAGATCAACGCACAGAGAGTGATGGTTACAAAGCTTTTTCATAGCATAGCCAGGACTTTATTCACCAAGTGCTTATTGAGCCCTCAGTATGTGTCAGGCATTTCCTAAGGCACACAAAGGTCAAAGTCCTGACATGATCAAGCTTACGTTTTTGAAGGAGTGAGGCATGGGGAGATAGACTACAAGGAGAAAACATAACTAATAAATGAACTAAATAAAATGTTAGATGATGATAAGGAATACGGAAAAGCAAAAACAACAAAAACTTCTCACAACAGAAAAGTAAGAAGAATTTGTGCAAATAATAGAATGCAATTGTGTATAGAGTAATCTGAATAGAGCTCACTGGGGATGAAAGATTTCCTGAAGAGACCACATGGAGATGGGTGAGTGAGCTTTTTTGCTACCTAGAGAAAGCCTTTCTGGAAGGAAGAGAAGCATGCAGCCGGGCCAGAGCCTGAAGCAGTCCTAGTTGGTTTGTGAAATAATCAAGAGAAAGAAGGGAATGCAGCCAGGGGTGGGGCTCCAGAGGATCACTGGGTGGGGGAGCAGGGAAGACTTTGAGGACCATGGTAAGGAACTGGTGAACCACTACAGAAGAGGCTAGAATCTGACTTGCGTGGTCAAAGGATCGCTCTGGCATCAGTGTTAAAGAAAGATCTGGGATAGATGAGGTGAAGTAGGTAGGACCCTGGCACTAAGGGAGGCAATGCTGGTGGCTCACACAGAGTGGAGCAGTGGAAGCAATGGCAAGTGATGGGCTTTGGGGTCTACTGTAGAGTTGAGCTCAATAAGATCTTTTGATGGAGAAAAGACATTGGAAAAAAGAGGAGTCAGGGTGACTTTATTTGGCTTATGCAAATTGAAAGTTAGTTGGAATTCCCATTCACTGAGATGGGAGGATGGTTTTCAGTGGGAATAGTCAGAGTTGTATGCATGCGTTTTCTCATAAATATTTCCTTTTCCACCAAGCTCTTACTGTTCTTATTTATTTTAATTTTTTTCCCATTAAGTTTATTGGTACATTTTAGGTATAAAATACAGTTACATTCGTCATTGGGATCTTGTACCATACATGAGTATCTTGGTTCTTATTTTTTTCCCCTTCTCCTGCCCTCCTTTCACCTCCTCCACCCTTCCCTATTTGCAAAGATTTTGTTTCCATTTTTTTCCTTTTCTCATATTTTTTCTTTTCCCTTCTTTTCTTTCCCCTACCCCTCCCACTTCCCCTGCTCCTTTAGACCTTTTTTCCCTATTACACAATATCAATTATACATTTTTAAATTACAAT